CAGGATATCAGCAACATTTTACTAGTTAGCCACTTTTTGATATCTTTCACAGAAAATGAGATAAATAGGCTCAAAGTGGACGATCCGGGTGTCGTTCTATTAGAGGTTTTACGGTATCTTTTATAGAAACTGAGATAATTGAGCTCAAAGTCCAAGTGTAGGGTGGCATTCAATTGGAGTGGTTACGGTATTTTGAGAGATGTTTTGCTTAACTTTGTGTTTGCGAGTAGGTTGTACAGGAATGAGATCATACCATATGTATTCAATATCTCGGCTTTCGGCTTGTAACTTTTGGTCGGAAGTTGCCCAAAAACGGCTTCATGGCGGGTCTTGATCAGATTTCCACGATATATGTAGAAAATCCAGTTCATAAGATCTTCATATTGACTTTCAATTTCAGCCAAGGTATCCTTTATGATCGTAGTATACTTTTCTAATCATATCCCCAATTGTAAATTTTCTCTATTTCTACAGTATACCAATCCGTTTTATCACGTAACACACAATACCAGATACTTGTGTGTAATAAGGAAGAGTGGGTGAGACAGTCTATGATGGAACAGATGGGGAGGGGCGGGGCCTGACGAACGTAATCCGGTTGACTGACATGTCCCAGTTCATCTGGTTCTGGACATGCTTTCGTTAGGCTCTCACACTTCTTTGTTTGTTTCTTCTTCCTCGTTTTCTTGTTTTTGACATTTTCACACTCTCACTTTATAGACAACTGGGTTCACACTCCCCATGGCCATTTGCTCCTCCTTTACACATTCCTAACCGCATAGTAGGCCGACCATAGGTTGGAGCGAAGATTCATTTTGTCGTTTTCTGCCTCATTTGATTGTTTCGAATAAACTAAAATTGATTTGTTTTCAGGCTCCTGCATAACTACAAGATGAAAATGATCTCTTCCCTTCTCAAAAAGTTAATGACGTCATCTTCTCCGAAACCCAACAAAACAAAAGCCACTGTGGCTCCTCTGTCCGAGTCATCAGCGATCGCCTGGAATCACAAGGCTCCAATGGACTATGATGAGAAACTGAAAAAGTATGAAAACCGTCAGAGGAAGGAGGATGAAGTCAAAGAAATCCGCAAGGATCGTCGAATTCTCCGCCGTCAGAATGGTTTGCTGGAATTCCACAACGAGGTTTTGTTCCTCCAAAATCAACGACTCGCCTCCGAAAAGCAGAACTTGAAAATGGAAAGACAAGCGATGGCAGAGAAAAAGAACGAGCTGGCCAAGAATCTTCGTAAGCAGAAAAGAATCAATGAATACTACAAGAGACGACTGGTTGAAATTCAGAAACTGGAAAAGTTTGCAATCTGATGTTCATTTTATTAATGTTTTGTTCTTTTATCCCATTTGAATATATCTGGTACTCCTGTTTTCTTTTTTCAAATAAAAATCTGTATTTTTTTAAATTTTACTTCGTTTTGGTCATTTTTTGAACCTTCCAACCAATCAGCCGATGTGCTCTATTTATTCTTCATGGTTGTTCATGTTATCGAATTACTGAATGCATAACTTTATTGATGACTAAACTACCAGTTTCTAACAGTAAAGAAAAATAAATAGGAATACATAAAAATCAAGGAGGTCTTTTCTTTTTTCTCAAATTATGCCCAAATTATTATTATCACAAAATGTAAATCAAGTCACAAAGTACCGTAATTAGTTTCACAATTAGTATCATAATTAAAACAAAATGCGTCGACTAGTAGGTGACACACGTGATGTGGAAGGCTCATCTTTGGGGACTTCAGGAATTGGATCAATGACTTTCTCAATGCGAGCAATTGGCTTCTGGCTGACAGGAGCAGTAGTTGATGAAGTCGTTGGATTATCATACAGTAACCAGTCTATATGTCGGAAAAATGGATGTGCTCTTACTTCATCGAATGACGGTCGTAGAGATGCTGTAGGCACTAGTAGTCTGAAAAAGTGTATTTTTAATATATGGAATAGGCCTAACGGAGCATACATGCTTAGCAAATCCTTTGCAACAAACGATATCTTGCATTTCTCTGGAATCGGTAACTCCATGTTTCTCAACACTCCATGAGGAGCTGCATTCGCTAGCGATCTCCCGCAAATCATCTCGAACATCAGGGCTCCAAGTGTCCACGCATCAGATTCTGATGTTGGAATCCATCCATACTGTGTGCTTTCCGGAGCAGAATAACCATCAGATATTCTTTTCCGTCGATTCGCTTCGTACCATCTTCCAATATAAGTTATCAGAAGATTTCCGTCAGTGTCAATTAGAATATCGTCTGCATTGAGATCTCCAACAAATTCCTGATATTCAGCATGAAGAACAAAGAAAAATGACACTATTTGAGCACTCCAATGAACGACAAGAGATTCGGGAAGATCCAGAAAATTCCAGACTTGTTTTCGACTACTTAACTGTTTTTGAACTGTCATCAGTGCTTTTGATAAAGCTTTTAGGAATATCTCTTTGCTGTTTGCATCGGACATTGGATTGGATTCAGAAGACATCTTGGATGTTGAGCATACACTATGATCCGGATCGTCTGATGATATTCTATTTCCACGTGGCGAATGAGATTTGGATGTGGAAAAATCAAACTTCACAGCGGCCGGACTCTCTTCTTCCACTTGAAAAATCTGACTTTCCACAGCTTCTTTGGAACTTCCAAGTAGTGTAAAATCTCCTGTTGGAGCGTCAGATCGACCAGTCGGATCTTCACCAACTGTGCAGACAACTTGATCTTCTTCTGATGGTTTTTCAGTCTAAAAATAAATAAATAATGATATTATTTTGAAAGGTAAAACTCACACTGAAACTTTCATCTCTCATCTCGACAACTCGTTCAAAATCAACTCCAACTGTGAATAAAAGTCTTCTCCTCTATAATTCCCTTCACTTTTCGTTCGTGTTATCGAAACGGAGCTGGTTTTTTCTCCATCCCTCACGTCTGCTTTCAGCTCAGCAAGCCATAGGACATGTCTACTTTCAGCTTCATTGAACATCCTCCGTAGAAACGACCAGAGCATTCCAGGTTGCACATATTCCAACAATAGTATAATATGAGTTTCTGTTTCAAAGAACTGGACCAGTTGCACCATATGTGGTATGTTCGTTGGTAGAAAAATCGAGCTATCGACACTTGGAACACCTTTCTCAATTAGCTTCATCACGTACTTCTTTTTGGATTCACCGACTGTCTCCTCAACAAGAATCACCTTCCGTTCAGCGTCCAGTTCGGGGAGCACTCCGATAAATCGATAATTTTTCATGGACTTGTTCGAGCACTGAAACGCCAGAATGTTCGGATCCTGCATTGCAGCGGTTAGGAGTCCTTCGAAATTGAATACAGATCCGTCGAGTGACAAATAGGTTCTATAGAGTTTCTCTGCTTTGACAAGATACTTTGCGGTCTTTCGACGAACTGCGTTTCTCTTGGTCATATCACTCTCGATTTGAACACCCTGCAATAGAACAAGTTGTGATAAGGAAATTATTCATGTCAATATGAGTGCACAAGAACCTAGGCACTGGAGAAGAATAGGTCGAGATGTTCTGGAGAAAATCAAGAAGAAAAAGACAAAGGAAGAATACAATCCATCATTCAAAGACAGATAGGATCCATACAAACATAAACAGAGTAGGCTTAAGAAACAAGGAAAGCAAGTGAGTCTAGATGGAAATCATTGTCGTGTTTTGATCGAGATTGATGCTAGCACAGTTATAGGAATTCAGTTTTTCGCGACTACTCGAGAGGGGATTTGAAAAAAGCTGGTTTGCAAATCACTAAAAATATTGGGAATTTGGATCAAATGAAATCGTACAAAATGGAAAGTAAAAGTTTCATGAAAACCGGCAACACTTTTTTATGGTCGCATCGACAGTGTTCTAAACATTTTATGATAAACCACAAACCTGGATAAGACTGCTTGCTGCACTCTTATAACATTGGAAAGCCAACTCATATGCGTGCTCTTCCTCGGCTCTTTGAGCGGTTGCCACTAGTTTCCCAGCGGTCACCAAGTAGTCTGCGGCTGGTTCTTCGATTTCTGAAGCATGGATCTTTTGGAATACTCAAAGCACTTTGCTATTCTACCGATATGCTGATTATGACCTCCTCTTAATCGAGGAAACAACCTCCGCATTGAACTTTTCCTTGGCACTCGTTGTTCACCAGCCACTTCAGCGGCGATTGCTACGTCTGGAAACTCGAAGTCGTCGCCAATCTGAAAAAGTGATTTTATCTTTATGTGTCAAGGAGTAAGATAGAAAAAATTCATAAATTTTATTTTGATTAGAGCTCTGGGATACATGGCGATGCTATAAATGGAACAGAAAACGCATATTGAATATGACAAGCTGAAGAAGTGAGTCACTAGTGAAACGAAAAGGGAAGCCGGAACTTAATTAGAATTTAGCGAATGGAACTGACTTGCTCGTGTGTTGGCTCCAGAGGTGAGACGTGATTTGGAGAATCGGAGTCGCTGAAAATAAAGAATGAGTTGGGGAAAGAACTGTAAATATATACCTGGAATGGCTATTGGGCTGGTCTAGAATAGACGAAGAATTGTCATAGAACACTTCGTTGCCAGTGATTTCGTAGGCAATGTACGTCTTCTCCTTTGCTTTCTGGAAGTTTTAAAGTTTTTTAAAAGATTCCTAGCAGAAGTGAAATGTATAACATGCATCTCTTTTGTTGGAAAAGAAAAGCAGAATGCGTGTAAGTGACATCATCAGTCTCTTCTCGTCCGCTCTCTGCGGACCCTGTTTCTCTCTAAATCTCCTCTGCTCACGCATTGAAATGCTTCTCCCTTACCTCAACAAATTCATGCAAAAGACGGGATTTGCGAAGAACTTCACTGTCGAACACGAAATTTAGACACGCCTCGATGCCGTGACGACGTTCTTGAATCACTGCAGGGTCGGCTGTAAATTAGAAAAAATCAGAATTAAGAGGGATAACAGATCCAATACCAGATCCAATAAGTTTTGCAGGTGGAAACACGGGAAACGTCCCTCGAAGATATAGTTGTTTGTGCAGTTTAGAGATGGCCGCATGGAGTTTTGCCATTTCTTTGAATCTCGTGCTCAGAATGAAAATTCGATGAGAAAAATCATGGGCGAGTTGGGGTGCCACCGGTGTACACTCGATTTCCACTGTGTAGACTGTGTGAGAGCCGGCAAGATGTTTTTCTTCGGTGATCGAGGTGACCGAGGAGACGCATGACCAATCAGTCTGAAAGCTATTGTATTTTATGAATACTCTAAAATAAACCATCTGAGAAACTAAATTTCCAAAATTTTTAGTTTGGCTCACCTTTAATTGATACAAAATTCTTCCAAGATCACTGGTGCAGTAACTTTCATCGGGATACAAGGAGCTCATGATTCATACTTCTCTGGAATTGTTCAGGATTACTTGAGTCAATAATTTGTGTACGAAGATAACATCTAACTATAACTTTAGATGTGTTTTGAAACCAATACGAAAAGATGGTCGAACGGAATGGATTGTTTACGATCTTTTCGTTCCTTTTCTTTCCGCGTCTCTTTTACTGCGATTTTTTTGAAGAGGAAAGGTTGATCGGTTTGGGAAAAAAGTATTAAACAAAGGTTTTTCTGTGGTCTCGAACCTTTAGGTCTGTATTCGAACTGGAATCAGACATCTCTTACAATAAATATACTTTATTAAATAGGATCATTCCGATAAATAGAAGATGAATTCCAAGGAATATTGAGGAGCACGAGACAGGAAGGGTTCAAATAAATACTTTAGACTATTTTGAATGGAAACGAACATAGGAATAAAAACCATTATAGAAGCGATAGACAAAAAGAGAAAAGACTGAAGAAAAATGTTGGCATCACAAGAAAAAACAATAAGAAATGACTTTCTGAAGACAAAAAACAACACAAATAAGAATATCGGTGGGAATAGAGGATGATTTGAGTGAAATGGGAATAGTGTACCTACTAAAAACAAAGCAAATCTACTTCTTTCCCCAGAACCATCCTGTGACCATTCCAGAAATTCCCTGTTGACCTTCTCCTTCTTTTGAGGCCGATGTATTTGGAGCAGCAGAACCTCCTTTCCCTGTTTTCTTCGGTGTTTGAGCATCACGATCTTTTTGAAGTTTCTCTAGACGATCCTCAACATCTGGCATCTGGAAATTGCAAAAGTTACTGATTGTATTGTTCAGAATCTTTGTAATAAAAAAAAACAAAACTTACTGTTAGATGGAAATTGGCCAAATCGAAGAAAATTGGCTTATTAGGCATTGGAATGAAAGCTGGTGGAAGGCTTGCCACCGGAATGGTTTTCTTGTCTCTCAACGATTCACGAACATTCCATTGACGCCACTCGTTTACTGTCTCCAAAAGTGGGCGTTCATCGATGGTCTTTGCAACTTCCGAATCAGTTTTGATATCTCCTGCAGCTGCAGCTAGTCTTGCAGCACGTGCAGAAATCTTTGCGGCGTCTACTTCCGATCTGAGCTCATTCAATGACTGTGCGGTCTCATTAGTGATGTAGAAATTAGATTTCAGTTTCTTGAGTTTGCCCTCAGCTTCTTGAATACGGGAAAGAGTCCGATCGAAAAGAGCAGCAGCTTCAGAATATTTATGAAGTGCTGAGTATGAAGAAGACATGTAGAAGCAACGGAAAGCTCTATAGTATTCAACCTTCACTTCGAAAGCCTCAATCAGATTCTTATCGTATTCAGCTCCAGGTGTCTCCGAAACTTCCTTATAGATTTCAATGACCGAATCGTAAAGTCTAAGCAAATCTTGAGGTTTATTCTTCTTTTCGCTCTTTGTGTTATCAATGATAGCCAAGTATCGTGAAGCAGTTCCGTTCATTTTCAAGATTCCAGATATGCCTTGATTGATTGAAGTACAGTTGTATCCGCGTTCTCAGAACTTTTGCGACGAATAATATCCGAAATGCGATCGATAGCGTCTCGTGTGTCAGCAGTCGCTTTTTCGAAAAGAGCCATTCGTTCCTTAGGTGTTTGGCATTGAGCCAATTCAATTTCAGTTTGTTTCCATTCCTGAATAACTTGCTTAGCCTTGTCATCATCAACAGTGCTCTTCATTCCTCCCCACTCAATGGTGACGAATTCAGCTGATGTAGCAGACGCGCGCATTTCCGAAATGAGCTTCTGAAAGCATTAATTTTAGTTTTTAGGTAGTGAAGGACGAGAACTTACATCGACAGAACTGTCTCCTCCTTCTCCCATTTGCATTCTCAACTCCATCAATTCAGTCATGGTTCCCACTGCGCCAGGTGACTCAGCGATATTGAATTCGCATAGACGAAGCTGTGGCTGAATTTCACGACAACGACCTTTGAACAAAGAAGAAAGCGTGGTGTTGTTTGTGGCCTCAGCCAGCTTTTCATAGACAGTCTTAGCAAGTTTCAGAGATTCGGAAGCTTTCTGCCAATTCCTAGACTCGAAAGCACACATTCCTCGCATCCAGGCAGCATATGCTTGAGCTTCGAGCTTAGTTGGTGCGTCGAACTGAACATTGAATTTTCTTATTGACGAAATAAAATATTTTGATCATTAAAACTAACTCGATCGCTCTCTTGAACAATTTTCTCAAGATTCGTAACATGAAGAACGGCTTTGCGCAACGAATTGATCATGGTGAAGCGTTTTCTAGATTTCTCCGGGTTGTCTTCCAAAGTAATTTTATCAATCATCGCTTCAGCATAGCGTCTTTCTGACTCGAATATACCGAAATTGAGGTACTGGACATTGTGAATTGCTTCGGCGTTCAACCACTTTTTGACAAACTTCGCAGGTCGTCTTTTTTGGCAGTTGTGAGTGTTGGTAAACTTCATAGCTTTGCGCATACGCTCCAGCTTTGCAGCACAGTATTTTCTGAAGAACGAAGTTTTTCAATTTAGAAAAAAGAAAACATACCGATAACGAGCATAATCCCCATGTCGCAAACCATGTTGCTGTTGTGCGTCTTTCACAACCTAGAATTTTTAATTTAGAAACAGAAAAAGAACATCGAAATACCTGAAGAACATGGACAGTTGGAAACACAGGAAGCTCCTCTTGTTCTGTTTTCATTTCGACATCATTTGTCATGGTTCCTGTAAAATTTTAAATTTTAAAGTCGATGTTTGTCGATATTGTGGAAAAATGCAAGGAAGAAAAGGATTTGATTTTCAGTTTTCAAAGGCGCATTGAATTGCAGGCGACAAAAATCTCGCAACGAATTTTTTTGAACGGTATACTTTGATAAATTTTATTGAATTTTTTTACTCAGGAAAGAGTTAATAAAATTAGCATTCTGATATATCATAGCTCATGGAATTCAAGAACATAAGTTATAAAAGTGGACACATCGGCAGCAACGGAAAATGCGCCAACAAAAAGTGCGTCAACGAGGCATTGGAGACCCGTTTGCTATTTATGAGTGAGAAAGACGAAATAAGGAGACCGTACAAATCCGCAAGAATCGAAATCCGCAAGAAACGACATCCGAAAAAAGCTGCAAAAAACGAAAATTAAACATTTTTCAAAAACTATACTTGGCATCTAGTTATTTTTTGCAACACAGGCCTCAGGTAGAGCTCAGAAAATTCCCGGGATGTACCCTAGGTTATCTCGGGGGAACCTATCACACGATCTCTGCTGAGCCACTAGGGAGTATGCATACTAACCTAGGAGCTCCCCTGCCTGACAACCATCCTTAGGATCTCAGCCGACTCAGAAGAGATGGAGTGATGTTCACCGGGAGACCTCCAAAACGAGGCCCATTATATAGTGAGGTCTCCCGGATGTACCGACATCTGCCGGGTTCCGCTGTCTACTATACGTTGCGTGCAATGTGGGCGGGGCT